TTTTTTTTTTTTTTTTGCACTTTACATCGATGTTTCTTAATAATTTTATTGTCATCGATTAATAACCACCTTTCGAAAATCATCTACGGGCATTATTGCATTAATTTCATTAATTATTACACAACGGTAACAATCAAATACGGTGAAGAATTTTCTCATCTGGCACTTTGTTTGCTAAGAAAGAAATCATATGGGAAACGTTCGTGTCGATGAAAAAAATTTTTAAAAGTCAGCATTTTGAGAATCACTTCTTTCCTGATTGTACCATAAAAATTCAGACATTTATATGTTATTGTAACACACGATATCGTCTGTCTGTAGAATAGAAGAATTCTTTTCTTTATCGATTTTTAAGACAACATTCGGATAATAAAATATATTAATATAACACGTTCTTCTGATTCACTCGAATGATGAAAACAATGATAAGAAAAGAAGAAACTTAAAATAAAATAAGGGGAGGAAATGGAATATTCATGCGTGTGTTGCATAAAATATTTTGACATTTTATTAATACTGTAGTGGAAATCGATTATTGCGATTATATTAGTCAAGCTTAAAATAAATCAAGCGTTTCGCGTATTATTCAAAAGCCATATTATATTAATAAGCCTTAATATTAAAATGGAACTATATTCTATTTATTTGATCATAATACAGTTTTCCGATTTCATTATTCTACTTTCTAAACACTTATAGATTCGTATAAAATACCATTTTTTAAAGAACTACTTTCAAACCTACGAGAAATTATTCCACACGTAAAATTTATTGCTTTGTGCAAAGGTGCAGGTGGACCTTAAGCAATTAATCGCGCCCGCAGAAAGTTTCGTTCCATTTTAAAATGGGAAATTATAAAAATCGTGAATAAATTTTTTCCGAAACGAAAAGGAAGAACCAGGGAGAGAAACTATTGACCGATGGAAAACTACCAGCAGGAAATTATCGCGAGTGATGCTCGACGACATTAGAATACAGAATTGACTTCCAATCTAGTGGAAAGTTGTCGAGGATTAAATTGACCGACGTGTCGGATGACTTCAGAGGGAAAACTCATAAATAAATTGTCAGGCAAATTCTGACAATAAGACTAGTGGAAACTCGGATCGTTCCTTGGTAAATCGTCTTCGTGATCGAGGCCAGAGATAGATCGATGTGACGCGTCGAAGAAGTTTCCAACTGGGCACATTCGATTCAATTTTCCTGCTCGTGTAAACTCGCCTTAATCGTTTCGCGTGGCTATAACGTACCAACGGACATTGATAGACACATACGTCGCAATTGCGACACATTTCGATGCCGTGTATCGATTGCGAGACCTTGCTTGACTGTCTCTTTCTGACGGTCAATATCGCGACGATCGCGAAACATGCTTCCGTGGAAAGAGATCTCGGACACGTAAAACGGGCATTTTTTCCTGAGGAGGCTAGGCTGCCACCCTTATGACAAAAAATTGATAATAATGCGGAGGGAACGAAGTTGAACAAAGTAGTTTCACATTTTTAGCTCTTTTTAATTTTATCCTGATTTGTTTCTTCTTGTATAATCTTCTGTGATCACAGAAGACTGATTATCTTAATTTTTTTTTTTTTTTATTTTTGTAAGATAGAAAATAAAATCAAGAATTAAGAATAGGCATGCTCTATAAAATTTGATGATTTTTCGTTATCTCAAGGACACTGATATACACATTACACATATACGAAGCGATAATTTTATATCAGCGAGAGAATTTTTAACACTTAACATGAAAATATTAATGTTGCATTTCCTGTTCGAATAGAAATATTACAAATTAAATATTATTACAATTAATAATTAATTAAATATTATATTAATAAAGATAATTTGAAATAATGAAACATTTCCACTAATTTATTATTTTTATTTCGGAAATAACGTAGAAAAAGTAACTTTACCTCGTGTTCAAATCAAATAAATCTTTTGTTGACGCACATTTATAATATATATTGTATTAACAACCGATATAACTCAGATCGTAAATCAAATTATAATCGCGCAGATTTCCTGCCTGATCACTGGCTGATTTATAAATAATAAGAAATTAAAAGTTTCTCTGTCTCCGAGAATCATTGCGCTTAGTTCAATCAATACTCATACACGAGATTAAAGAAAAAGATCGCGTGATCAAAGGAATAAAAACGGATGAAACACTAAATAATGAAATAATGAAAGTGCGTTAACAAATGGGATGAATCGAAAGTACTTCTGCCGGCAACTTTCATTGCAAATTTTTTCACGAGGCTTGTTGAAAGTGTTTGAAGCGTGAAACACAACACAGCAATTTGAAGAAGCATATCGATCGTGACAGATCAATGCCACACATGTGAACGTTCGAGTGCTCGATTCACGTTTTCTATACACATCGTGCTTTCAACGTAATTGTAATTTCCGATCGAATAATGTATATCAGAAGTTACTCCTTCCTATGTCTTCGAATTGTTTGACGTCATGCGTGTTAGGTTCACTATACGCAATAAGTGTCATCGTTGCAATTGACACGAAACGAAAGCTGTCTATTAGAATTCTCAAGGAATTATGAAATAAAAAGTTGTTCCTCCCCATAGTATATTAACTAGCAATGACATTCCCTATGTGACAAATTTCGAAGGCGAAATTAATATCAGGCATCAGGTAAGATTTCGCGATCATGTTATCAGCACCGACGTTGGTAGAAAGATATTATGTTTATAATTCAAAACAGTGGAGTAATTGATATTTAAAATGGTTTTTGAAACTGTTTGAATTTTAAAATAACATTTATATATATATATGTGGAAGCTTAGAATGACCTATGAAAGTCGCAAATCTTTATGCACGTTGAAATCTCTGGAAATTCTAAATTTTGAAAGATTGAAATGATATTCGAAAGCTGCAAGCAAATAAACTATGATATATAAAAACTGTAAATAATAGGAGTTGCACAATCTTAAAAGTTATCCCGTACTCGATAGAGGAAAAATTTCAACCTTGGTATTCGATCAATGTTAAATCGATAGCGAATAATATTCGAGACAGATTTACGCCAATTTTTCTCTGGAAACTTATTCAACGGCCACTTAGGATTAATAAAGCGCAATATATCATCGTCGTGCATTATTCCATGTAAGTACGATGAGCAACAGTCGAAAAGTGTTGTTTATCCAGGCAATCAATCGAGTCCATCGAGTTCAGTAATCAAGCCCTCGTGAATCATTGATTGAGGTCGAAACGATTTTTCAATACTGTGATTAGCTCCGTGGTGCAGAAGGGAAAAAGACGAAATCATAAACGAGCCTGGTCAATCACGCGATTTCTCCCTGACAGTTTCAGTTAGCCCCGATTGATTGAACTTCCTCAATTATTTAGCCACCGTGATAGGAGGTCAATCACGGAGCTGCTAGATATACGTAGCTTACTCTTGTTGAAACGTTCAACCATGATAAAGAACGATGTTACGCATACACAGGGAACTAACAGCCGCTTTAATCGTTATCACTCGTCTAATAATTGTCTCAATTTTAGGACTGGTAGCATTGAAAGGTTGGTAGACGGTGATAAAAGGGTGATCGCCACCAAGCATTTGCTTCCAGAGAATAACATAAATGTTGTCGTCAGGTAAGTGAAACTACATACATAGAAATAAGATTAACTTCAAACGAGAAGTAGAGAAGCAACATTAATTAATTATTATTACTCGAAAACTATGATGATAATTTCCGTTGTGAAATCATTCGTTTCACAGAGTTCGTCCACTTAGTAGAAAGGAAATTAAAGCCGGCGACGATATGGCCGTGCAATTTCCCGGAGACGGACAGATATATGTAAGTCTATTTCCTTGTCTTCTTTAATACGAATTAATTCAACCCTGGAAAATTATTGAAAGATCAACGAATATACACATCAACAAATCAAATAATATACTTCTCTTTATTTTTCTGTAGATTTTTGGTATATTTATATTTATATTCAAGCACCTTCAATAAAATGAACTAATAATTTTAAAAAATTTTCAATTTTTCCGTACAATCTTCAACTATAATTAATTAAACGCTCAAAGGATTAAAGTAAAATTCAGACAATTATTCGTCGAAGTACCATTTTCGTACTCCATTTTTGAAACCTTCTCGCGTTTAATTAATAGCGAATGAAATCGTCTTAAATCACCGTTGACTTTTATCGTTGAACCTTCGCGCAGTGCGAAGGATTTCCAAGCAGCGTGGAGAAGAAAGGTAAATTATTTTCGTACAACGTGGTATTCGAGCCCACAGCCACTCAGGAGGACATCTTACAATTCTCTGGCGTGAAGAAGCTCATTGAAATGGCAGTAGAAGGGTTCAGTTGTACTGCGTTTTGCTACGGGCAAACAGGAAGCGGGAAAACTCACACCCTCACGGGGCCTCCGGAAATGGTTAGTGAAGAAGCTTCTTTTGTTAACTTACTGCATGCTATTCATCGGTCTTACACTGGTTTCTTCGATAAAAACCGATGCTTCCAAAAATAAGATACACCAGGCATTACGAATAATGCATCGAATTGAAGGCCGTGTATGAATATGAATAGAAAGGTCAATGCTGTTCGACGTGCGTGGATAAGATAATGAGTATAGACAATGCTCGTTTACCCCTCGAGTATACTATATAGCCACAAACAAACAAAATTGTAATTTGTATTCGAATAATTAAACGTGGCGCATCACACTAGTTTTAGCAAAAGTATCTTTTTTTTTTTAATTTCAATGGTACATAAATAATATATAAATAACAATAGTATTTTTATTTAATTAACAGTAAAAGTTTAATTAGATTTTGTTACTGTTAATCAGTTAGATTTTATGACTTCTGATAAGAAGTTGTTATGTGAAATATTTATAATTAATATATGAAGAAAATATTTGTCCGATCCATGATCATCAATGAATGTTCTTCTTTCATTAGTTCGAAAGAATGAATCCTTACTCGGAGCAACACGGTCTGGTCTTCCGGTCTTTCGTCTATTTGTTTAAGTTGTTGCAAGAACGGCAAGAATGTAACTTCGTGTTGAAGGCCTCCTTCCTAGAGATCTACAACGAGAAGGTCAGTGTACATTGCGTGGAATTAGAGGAAAGCTTCGGGGTCACCGTTTTACAGGGCAACCTTTTAACTTCGAACCGCAGGTAATAGATCTGTTAAATCCTGGCACGTCGAGGAAACCCTTAATGGTTCGGTGGAGCAAAAAGACACGAGGTTTCTTCGTTGAGAATCTTTTCACTGTCGAGTGCGAGGAACTCGATGATCTTCTGGCAGTTCTCGAAGAAGGTAGTTGTCTTGTTGATCTTCATCTTTGCACCTTTGACGAATGAATTTTCAATCCCTTCTAGATTCAAAATATATCATAAGTACATTCTGTGCAATTCTGTATCTGTAAATTGTAAATGTATAAAAATCTGCATAATTTATTCAACAGCAAACAGCAAACAATTTTATTCATAGCTGATAATATACATTTATATTTTAACTAATGTTATACATATTCTAATTATATTCAAATATGTATAGTTAATAATAGAAAATTATATTACATGATCGACATATACATTTAATCTA